TACTTTCCCCCCATATCAGTTTTGTTTTTTGAACATATCTTTGTTTGTGCTTATGAGTACACACTTTGTTGTTCATGTTGTTCATAAGTACAAAGTTGAAGAACATTATGTGTGTGTAAATCTGAAGTGGATAAATGAACTGGAAGTATATAAAATAAAAAAATACAAGTGTCTGAATATGTATTTCCCCTCACTGTATGTATGAGACTATACTGTGATCCAGTATGTAGATTGTGCAGGGAGAATTTAATAATAATAATAATAATAATAATAATAATAATAATAAATCAGTTATGGTCTCTACAGAATATTCTACTCAAGGAAGATTTTAACCACTTTAACTAATGTGACAAAAACAAAACAAGTAAGTAAATGAACATATTATTTTTAACACAACACTTGAAAGAAAAACACAAGACACAAGAAATCACCAATTTAAGCACTAGAACAGGTTATATATGACATCTTGGGACAAGAAGGCCTACTTCTTTTAGTCTTCTTTTAGAAACATGTCACACCTCCTTTCACTGTGACACATATACACCTTTACCATGGAGAATTTGCGTTTCCTTGTATATAAATATCCCAAATTCTTTCTGTTCAGTTGGCCGACAGATCAGACCAAAGGCACAATTATTATATCTTTCTCTCTGAAAATCTCTTCTCTAAACCTGGAAGGATAGATGGGGTCAGTCAATACTCTCTTACATATACTAATGGCCATGATCAATTTGTACACTGCCCAAGAGACTACTTGTAGTATGCTTGGCGAGCCAGACCACCCACAGCTATGGAGGGATGGTGATATCTTAGTTGGAGGAATTTTCCCCTTCCATAAATGGCAGATCATGGACTCATCCTATTCAGTCATGCCACCTCCAGTAAAGTGCATGAGGTAAGCGTAAACATTAAGTGAAATAATAAATTCTAATACACAATTGCTAAAAATGCCAGCACTTATTATATCTTACATAGAATAATGTATATGTTTTTTCTATCTGATTTTTAACAAGTCTTGAATTCAGAGCCTTCCAGTATTCACAGTCCCTGATCTTTGCAATAGAGGAAATCAACAACAGTTCTTCTTTACTGCCTGGAGTCTCACTGGGCTACAAGATCTATGATACCTGTGGTTCTGCATCCCTGGGGGTGAAAGTAGCAATGACACTTGTGAATGGAAATGAGAACTCAATCTCAGAACAGATCTGTACAAAGCCAGCCCAGGTGCAAGCCATAATAGGAGAGACATACTCATCAGTGTCCATGGCTATAGCAAAAAGTATTGGACCTTTCAGCATCCCCTTAGTAAGAATTTTTTTTATAATTATTAAAAATCTGACATTTACAATATTATTCCAATGGTGAGAAGATAGGAAGGCATTTTATATTCCATTTATAGCTAATAATGTTATGTGACAGTATGAAAAATACTGACCGAATATTATGCCTGATATAACTATGTGAATACAATTTTAGATCAATTACTATTTTGCCTATGAATGTCTCAGCTTACTTCTGATATAATGTGACTGAACGTAGTGCTTGCGACGCCTGTGTGTATCTGATTTTAGATCAGTTACTTTGCAACCTGTGAGTGTCTTAGCGACAAGAGGAAATATCCCTCATTTCTGCGCACTGTTCCCAGCGATTATTATCAGAGCTTAGCACTTGCAGAGATGGTCAAGCACTTTGGCTGGACCTGGGTGGGAGCAATAAGAAGAGATGATGACTACGGTAACAGCGGGATGGCCACATTTACTAAAATTGCTGAGCAACTTGGCATATGCTTGGAATATTCACTTCCATTTTTTTTGTCCTACTCACAAGAAAAAATTTTGAGAATCATTGAGCAAATTAAAAGTTCCAGTTCTCGTGTGATAGTGGCATTTGTCACTCGCTGGGACCTGGAGATGTTGCTTCATGTATTTACTGAACACAACATCACTGGATATCAGTGGGTGGGAACTGAGGGATGGATTGCTGATCCAGTGGTAGCCACACTGGATAAGCACAATATACTGCAAGGAGCCATAGGGCTAGCTATTCCCAAAACAACAGTAACAGGTCTGAAGGACTTCATTCTAGATGTAAAACCACTGAAATCAGTAGGCAGTGCCCTTTTTACAAAATTCTGGGAGGCTTTGTTTACTTGTACTTATAGAGGGCAGAATAATTCAGGGAACATACCAATGTGTACAGGTGAAGAGAAACTGTCTGAAGTGAAAAACACCTTCACTGACATGTCCATGATGCCCATTTTCACTAATGTTTATAAAGGAGTGTATGCTATTGCCCATACACTACATAAACTTCTTGGCTGCAAACAAACATGTCCTACAAAGAAGCAGCCTGATCCCTTCACTGTGAGTTAACAGTGTTTTTAGGCACACGTTTTTGTACTTTTGGCTTTAGAACTTCAATGTACATAAGTAGCACTCATTTAAATAACCAGGCAAAATTTTCAATATTGTGAAATATAGAAATATACAGATTCTTGTTAACCTATGAATTTTACTTTATTCAATCAGTTTCTAGAACACCTGAAAAAAGTTCATTTCAAGACAAAAGAAGGCGAAGACGTTTACTTTGATAAAAATGGCGACCCTCCAGCAAAATATGAAATAATAAATTGGCAAAAAAGTAAAGAATACCAATATGAATTTGTCACTGTTGGATTTTATGACTCCTCTGTTCCTGCTCAGGATCGATTAGCAATAAATATGGCCTTGATCACGTGGGCACAAAATACAAATCAAGTGAGTATAAGGGAAAAAATTCAAATTGGTCTCAATTAAATTAATTATCACAGAAAGACTTTATAATGTGTATCATATTATCTTTCAAGTAAACAGATTTTCTACTTATACAAGGTGCCAAAATCTGTATGCAGTGAGAGCTGCCTCCCTGGCACAAGGAAGGCTGTACAGAAAGGAAAGCCTATCTGCTGTTTTGACTGCATACCATGTGCTGCTGGAGAGATCAGTAATATGACAGGTACAGAATATCCCTAAAGAAGAAAAATAATAGATAGCAATTACTACTTCTACTACTACTACTACTACTTATTATTATTATTATTATTATTATTATTATTATTATTATCATAGTAGTAGTAGTAGTATATGTTATTTGTAGTAGTAGTATATGTAACGGTTGTCCATAAAATTCTACAAAAAACATTTTGGCAATTATGTCAACCTAGATTAAAATACAGAAGTTTAAGGAGACTAACCTAGTAATAGCTAGGAACTGCCTTGATTAGTCTGACACATATTAAATTCTGCTCGTTATTTCTTCTATATATCAAACTTTTTAACTTGCTCTGCAATTATTATGTCTTTCACTCTATGACAGATTCCACTGAATGTGAGCAGTGCCAGCAAGATTACTGGTCAAATGATGATAAGAATAAATGTGTAAAGAAGGAAGTTGAATATTTGTCCTATGAGGAAACTATGGGAATTTTGCTAACAGTGGTTTCTGTTGTTGGTTCATTTATGACAATAGTAATAGGAATCATATTCTTTAAATATAAAAATACACCAATAGTCAAAGCCAACAACTCTGAACTGAGCTTTGTGCTGCTCTTCTCACTGGCTCTGTGTTTCCTTTGTTCACTTACCTTTATTGGGCAGCCCTCTGAGTGGTCCTGTATGCTGCGGCACACAGCGTTTGGGATCACCTTCGTCCTTTGCATCTCTTGTGTATTGGGAAAAACATTAGTGGTGTTAATGGCATTCAGGGCTACACTTCCAGGCAGTAATGTCATGAAATGGTTTGGGCCTCCACAACAGAGACTCAGTGTTCTTGTCTTCACTCTCATACAGGTTCTTATTTGTGTGTTTTGGTTGACAATATCCCCTCCTTTCCCCTTCAAAAATCTAATGCACTATAAGGAAAGGATTATTCTTGAATGCAACGTGGGCTCAAACTTAGGTTTCTGGGCTGTGCTGGGTTACATAGGAATGTTAGCAATATTATGTTTTGTTTTAGCTTTTCTGGCTAGGAAACTTCCAGATAATTTTAATGAAGCCAAATTCATAACCTTTAGTATGGTAATGTTCTGTGCAGTTTGGATCACATTTATTCCAGCTTATGTCAGCTCTCCTGGAAAATTCACTGTAGCTGTGGAGATATTTGCTATTTTAGCATCAAGCTTTGGTTTACTCTTCTGTATCTTTCTGCCAAAGTGTTACATAATAATTTTTAAGCCAGAGAAAAACACTAAAAATCAAATAATGGGAAAGGTGAGAAAAAGTTAATAGGTTAAATATCCATGATTAATATGAATCAATATATTTCATATGGTCCACTGAAACTCAAATCTAACTCATGAGATCATTTATTCATTTATATTTTTTACGTAATTTAATAGAAATAAAAAACAATACAGCAATGACTACCAATGTTAAGGGTGATATTAATTTGTGTCTGTTGCTGTTAAAACTTTCACTCAATAAAAATGGTATGCAGGTACACATCACATAACCAGTAAAGTAGGAAATGTAACAAAACACTCATACCATGAGACAAAAGAAATGTGGCTTGCAATTTTTGAGCCACATCTCAAATTTTGAGCCACATCTTGGTTGGATTCAGTAGTATCCCAATTACCATATATTCAATGCTCACACAATGCAAGTCAAGGCAACAATCTCACAATTTTCCATATTTCTACAATGGAATTTTCTATTGTAGGTTTTACTAAGGGTCACATGGGCACACAGAAAAATAATCCCAACAGTATGGGGCACCAAATGAACATTAAAGGCCATTCTGATTTTATTTAGTGTAAATTTTAAATATAAATATAAATGTTGTTGTTCTTCTTCCGGCTGCTCCTGTTATGGGTCATCACAACAGATCATTGGTCTGCATGTTTGATTTGGCAGTTTTTACACCGGATGCCCTTCCTGACACAACCCTCCTCGTTTTTATCTAAGCTTGGAACCAGCACTGGGCATGCACTGTCATGTGCAACCCCAGTGGCTGTGGGTCAGTTCCCTGGCCGGGAATTGAACCCAAGTCGTGGTGGGGATAGTGCTGTGGCCTAACCACTAGTCCTCCAGGGACACAAATGTTAAATGTAAATATTAAATATAATTGTAACTGTTAAATATAAGTGTTAAAAATAATTCAAAATGTTAATATTCACTGTATATATTCATCTTGAATATATTCAAAATATATTTTCAATATATTCAAAATATATATTTTGACATATTGCAAAGACTGATTCAGGACACTCATTTGGGACCACAATGTCATCACTACAACCATTAATTCCAGAAATTAGTCTCCGCTATGAAATTACAGACGTACCAAAATACAAAGCAGGTAGCACCTGTAGCGCTAGCTAGTCAGGTACCCAGCTTATCCACCTCTACTGCAATGTGTTAGTATTTCTCTCCTTTTGTATGTCTTTAATTTCATAGTGGAGACTAATTTCAGGAGTTACTGGTTGTGGAAATGGCATCACAGCCCCAAATGAGCATCCTGAATGAATCCTGAAAAGAAACATCCATAGACTTACTCTTTACACTGGCAACTTTTTTCAAATATTAAAACTGGTAACCCTACCGATGCTCTGTTTTTCCACTAAAGTACACACTGAGAGGGCAGGGGCATTTAGCATATAATCGAAATATTGAACTTCTATATTCAACATTTATATTTAACATTTATATTTACATTTGTATTTAATATTTATTTGTAACATTTATGTTTATATTTAATGATTATATTTAACATTTACATTAAATATTTACATTTAACTTTGTTTATATTTAAAATTCACACTGAAACTTAAGACTGTTTCTTAGAAATGTAAATGTTAAATATAAATGTTAAATATAGGGAATATGGGGACGCAGTGAGTCAATGGAAGCCAAAGTCATCAGCACATTGAGGGATGGATTCAAAATCACACTAAAAATCAAATTAAAAAATTGAAATTACAGGCTGATCCAACTTGCATGAATTTCATCACGGCAACTCATAACGTAAGTCAGTAGTGTGTATGGCCCCCACGTGCCTGTATGCACTCCTGACAACATCTGGGCAGGCTCCTGATGAGATGGCGGCTGGTGTCCAGGGGATCTCCTCCCAGACCTGGTTCAGGGCATCAGTAAGCTCCTGGACAGTCTGTGGTGCTACTTGGCAGCTTTGGATGCTCTGATACATAACCTCCCAGAGGTTCTCAATTGGATTCAGGTCTGGTGAACGTGAGGGCCAGTCAATGGCATTAATACCTTCATCATCCAGAAACTGCTTACACACTCTGGCCACATGAGGCCGGGCATTGTCATGCACCAGGAGGAACCCAGGGCCTACTGCACCAGTGTAAGGTCTGACAAGGGCTCTGAGGATTTGACAGCAGTAAGGGTACCGTTGGCTAGCACGTGGAGGTCTGTGCAACCCTCCAAGGATATTCCTCCCCAGACCATCACTGACCCACTGCCAAACTGGTCATGCTGGATGATGTTGCAGGCAGCATAACATTCTCCACGGCAACTATAGACTCTTTCACGTCTGTCAGTGCTCAGTGTGAACCTGCTCTCCTCCGTGAATAGAACGGGGCACCAATGGCGGACCTGCCAATTCTGGTTTTCTCTGGCAAATGCCAATCGAGCTGCATGGTGCTGGGCTGTGAGCACAGGTCCCACTAGAGGACATTGGGCCCTCATACCTCCCTCATGGAGTCTGTTTCTGACAGTTTGGTCAGAAGCATGCACACCAGTAGCCTGCTGGAGGTCATTTTGTAGGGCTCTGGCAGTGCTCCTCCTGTTCCTTCTCGGACAAAGGAGCAGATACCGGTCATGCTGCTGGGTTGTTGCCCTTCTACGGCCCTGTCCAGCTCTCCTCGTGTAACAGCCTGTCTCCCGGTATCTCCTCCATGTCCTTGAAACTGTGCTGGGAGTCACACCAAACCTCCTTGCAATGGCACGTATGCATGTGCAATCCTGGAGGAGCTGGACTACCTGTGCAACCTGATTGGGTTGCAGGTACTGTAATGACAAGGACAAGGACCCTAACAAAACACAAAACTAGAAACAAATCATTCAGGAAGGATAAGGAGAGAGCAATTGTCTGTGTCCACCACCTGCAAAACCATTCCCTTTTGGGGGGTTGTCTTGCTGTTGCCTCTCCAATGCACCAGTTGTCACTTTCATTTGCACCAAAGCAGGTGAAACCGATTCACAGTCACTTATGCTTCCTAACTGGACAGATTGATATCCCTGAAGTTTAATTGACTTGGTGTTATACTGTAAGGATTAAGTGTTCCCTTATTTTTATTTTTTTGAGCAGTGTATATAGTCAAAAAGTGCAACTGTGTAACCAGGAACTTATGAGCTTATGAGCAACATATGAATATAAGCATTAAAGTTATTTCTGAATTCATTATAGTTTCAACATGAAGTCTGTTTTGTTGAAGTTCAATGATGGTGTCTTAAGTGCAAACCTGTTCATGAACTGTTCATGAATTGCAGTCCTAAGCCATCTTCCATCTTCATGGTCTCTAAGTGGTACCATCCACAGTAATCTCATAGATCTTTAGGCTGTCCATGTGGGGCCATCCTCAGCAACAGCAAGTGGTTTTCAGGTGATGAGATTTCCAACCAGAAGTAGGGCATCATGATGGATCAGGCAGATCCAGAGAGCAGAAGGGGTCAGGATCACTGGTATATCAGGAGTAGCATGTGTAGCTTGACACACACAGAGAGAGAGAGAAACATGTAAGGTCATGTAATGGTTAAAGACAATGTGCATTGTGTGCAGAGTGCAAGCAGGGACTCTGGCAAGACTAGCTATGAAAGCATAACTAAACGAGAGAGCCAGGAGGTAACTCAGACTTGAGGGCACCCTGGGACATAAAGCGGCCAGCCACTCCACTGTCAACAAACCTGAGTGAACGTGTGAGAGTTGGGGGAACAACAGCATCCAAACATCCCAGTTTACCAAAACACTCTATTCCCATGAACCTTCCAGATCTGCTCCTTTACCTAAGAAAAAATTATGAACAAAAGGCTTGACTAAACAAATAGGACCATTATAGTTCAATAGTAATATTTTACAATCAATGCAAAATTTGATTTGGAGCCAATGCAGTGTGGATATGATAGGGGTGATGTGGTCATATCTTCTGGTTCTAGTAAGGACTCTTTCAGCTGCATTCTGGACTAACTGTCAATCTGGACTAGCTTGTTGATGCACCTACCAGAACATCCAGACAGTAAGTCATTACAATAATCCAAACAAGGTAACAAAAGCAGGAACTAGTTTTTCTGCATCATATATCATATTTCTTATCTTATATTTCTGAGATGAAAGAAGGCTATCCTAATAATATTATCTACATGAGCTTATCTACTATGTCATCAGAAAGCTTCCTTCTAGCTGCATGTGGTCCTAGTACAAGTACTTCTGTCTTCTAGAATTAAGTAGAAGGAAGATGCTAAGCATCCAGTATCTAATGTCCTTCACACATTCCTCAACTTTATTAAGCTGGTGTCTCTCATCTGACTTTGCTGAAACATACAACTGTGTGTCATCAGCATGAAAGTGGAAGCTAATACCATGTTTATGAATAATTTTACCCAGAGGTAGCAGATATAAAGAAAAAAGGTGGGCCTAAAATAGAACCTTGTGGAACACCAAACTTAGTATGCATAGAGAAGTCACCATTTACATCTACAAACTGATAACGATCAGTCAAATAAGACCTGAGTCAGGAGAGGGCTGATTGACAGCCCACATGCAGTCATCCAGGCCTACAGAGAGTACAGAGACTCAGATGGAAAAGACATCCCTGATAAACTGAAGGAGACTGGTTGTTGCTGTCAATAGCATTCCTATAGCAAGTGCTGAGTGTGAGCGTGGATTTTCCCAAATAAACTTGATTTGCACCCTGAACCGTGCCTCTCTGCACACATCCACGATATCATAGTTACTCTTTCTAAATCTTGTTGGACCTCCCCTTCCCGCCACGCCCGGCCAAATTCAGTCCAGACCCTTATGTAAGGTCGTCGGCCAAAGGACATAGAACTGCCTGAAAGGACATAGAACTGCTCGAATCTCAGAACAGGGAGGAGGAAAGAATCAGGGATATGGCTGTGATGTGGGGTGTTTTGGACAACTAGCTAAGGTAAGCATACATTTGTCTATTAATATCTTAGAAAGCTGTGCGTGATTCTTTATTGTGAACTTTGAACTATTTTCGCGTATATGTTGAGACCTGATGAGAAATTAATTGCTGACTCCAAGTGCTGAAAGCCCCATAGTTAAGCATGTAGTGATGTGGGCATTTCAGCTGGGCATTTGCCTGTGTTGTGCAGAGTAGCCTAAAATAATTTAAAATTATTGTCATAACGTTTGTATCATTAAAATTATTTGAAATCGAGGCATGCAAGCCCCCAGATTAGTAAGTGGGCATTTGAAAACATAGCATGTTGTTTTCAGTACGTGTTCTCTACGCATTCCGGGACCTGAACCCGCCTCGTCACCACTCCACTCTCATATGCATTTCCCATTAAGCACTGGTTAATGGTCAAGAAATGACACTGCCCTATACGAGGTAGCTTTTAGCTTCTCATTCAGTCATATTCCCTGGAATAGTTCAAGTTTTAACTTATATTTAACACATCATGCATCAACAATCACTCACAAGTGATCTACAGTATGCATAAACATGGTGTTTTGCTTGCAAGGTAATTGCTTGTGTCAGTGCAAAAGTTAGTTTGCATGTTATCACATTTTGTATGATCCATACACACCATACAAATGCATACACACAGGCTGTATGGAATGGTCATTTACAGCCCAACATCACATATTTGTGTTCTAAGAACATAACAATGTAAACTATCCTTAATATACAACAGAATTCTTAACTTACAGGTATACATGGGCCAAATTTCACCATAAGAACAAACGTGGCTGCACTTCCTGACATGGTGTTTCAACTAGCATGAGACATGAGAACCTGAATTGAACTGAAAATCGCGACCACTAAGGGGAGTGCCCACATATCCAAAATGAAACAACTAAATGCAGAATAATACTATTAAATCTA